TTTTAACGTGGTGCTAAGGATCAAACCCAGTGCCTCACACATGCTAGGCAAGCGCTCTGCCATTAAGCCACAACCTCAGTCCCTGACTTCTTTTTTTTTGTTTGTGTGTGTGTGTGAGGTTGGGGATTGAACCCTGAGCATTGTGCATGCAAGGCAAGCACTCTATCAACTGAGCTATATCCCCAGCCCTGATAACTGATTTCTTTATATATATATATATTTTTTTGTTGTTGTTGTTATTGTTGGACACAATATCTTTATTCCATTCATTTATTTTTACGTGATGCTAAGGATCAAAACCAAAGCCCCGCATGTGCTAGGCGAGCACTCTACCACTGAGCCACAATCCCAGCCCCGATAACTAATTTCTTGATAGAATAAAAGCTGAAAAAAATCTTTAAAGCCTGGGGTTGTGGCTCAGTGGCAGAGCACTTGCCTCTTACATGTTAGGCACTGGGTTTGACCCTCGGTATCACATAAAAATAAATAAACTGGACTGGGGTTGTGGCTCAGCGGTAAAGTGCTCATCTAGCATGTGCAAGGCCCTTGGTTCGATCCTCAGCACCACATATAAAATAAAGGTATTATATCCAACTACAACAAAGAAATAAATGGATATTTTAAAAAATAAAATAAAGATATTATGTCCATGTATAACTAAAAAAAATTTTTTAAAAATCTTTAAACATAGGTAGTGAAAAAATCTAAAAATTAACAGTAAGTTTTAGAGCTGGAGATACACCCAGTTGGAAAGGGCTTGCCTGGTATTTATAAAGCCCTGGGTTGAATCCCTAGCACAGTCAAACAAACAAGGCATTTTTATTTTTATTTATTTTTTTAAATAAATGACAGCAGAATGCATTACAATTCTTATTACACATATAGACCACAATTTTTCATATCTCTGGTTATATATAAAGTATGTTCATACCAATTCCCGTCTTCATACATGTACTTCGAATAATGATGTCTATCACATTCTACCATCCTTGCTAACCCCCTGCCTGCTCCCTTCCCCTTCTACCCCTTTGCCCTATCTTGAGTTCATTTATTCCTCCCATGCTCCCCCTCCCTACCCCACTATGAGTCAGGCACCTTATGTTAGAGAAAACATTCAGCAGTTATTTTTTGTGGATTGGCTAACTTCACTTAGCATTATCTTCTCCAACAAACAGGGCCTTTTTAAAGAAGGTAAGTGTATTAGAGTCTAGTTGGAAGTCAAGTTGCATGGTGATCTGTATAACTTAACAATATAATTTGGTATACATGTAATTTCTAAATTTCTAAAATATATAACATCAATAAATATATGTGTATTGTTTATTTAAAAATTGTTAAATCAAGCCCGGCACAGTGATGCATGAGTGTAATCCCAGCAACTTGGAAGACTGAAGCAAGAGGATCACAAGTTCAAGGCTAACCTGAGCAATTTAGCAAGATCTTGTCTCAAAAATTAAACAATAAGTGCTGGAGCTGGGTATAATGGCACACACCTGTAATCCCAGGGACTAGGGAGGCTGAGACAGTAGGATTCTAAATTGAAGGCCAAGCTCAGAAATTTAGCCAGGCTGTAAGCAACTCAGTCAGTCCCTGGCTCAAAATAAAATAATTGAAAGGAGTGGGGATGTAGCTCAGTGGTAAAACACCCCTGGGTTCCATCTGGAGTATAAACAAACAAAAACAGATGTCAGACATGTGGCTCACAGCAATCATCCCAGCAATTCTGGAGGCTAAGATAGGAGGGCCATAAGTTTGAGGACAGCCTCAGCAGTTTAGTAAGACCCTCAGCAACTTAATGAAACCCTGTCTTAAAATAAAAAGGACTTGGGCTGGGGATGTGGCCCAAGTGGTAGTGCGCTCGCCTGGCATGCGTGCGGCCCCGGGTTCGATTCTCAGCACCACATACAAACAACGAGGTTGTGTCCGCCGAAAAAAACTAAAAAATAAATATTAAAAATTCTCTCTCTCGCTCTCTTTAAATAAAAAATAAAAAGGACTCAAGGGTGGGGTGGGGTGGGGGGGTGCTGTGGCTGTGACTCAGTGGTAGTGCACTTGCCTGGCATGTGTGACGCACCAGGTTTGACACACCACATATAAATAAAGGACAAAAACATTCATTTTTTAAAAATAAATAAAAATAAAAAGGACTGGGTATATAACTCAGTGATAAAGCATCCCGGGTTCAATCCCTAGTGCTAAATTAATTAATTAATTAATTAATAGATTAAAAAGGGTTTGGGGTTTAGTTCAATGATAAAATGATAAAGTATCCATGAGTTTTTTTTTTTTAAGAGAGAGAGAGAGAATTTTAATATTTATTTTTTAGTTTTTTGGCAGACACAACATTTATTTGTATGTGGTGCTAAGGATCGCACCCGGGCCGCACGCATGCCAGGCGAGCGTGCTACCGCTTAAGCCACATCCCTAACCCAGTATCCATGAGTTTGACCCCCACTACTGCCAAAAAAAAAAAGAATATAGGATAAGCCAATATAGAAAGCGGCAACAACTTTTATAATGAATGACAAAGCTGAATCTCATGCCAGCTAACAGAAAGTGTTATAGAGTCAAGAATGGCATATCTGCAGCTAAAAGGCAAGAAATCCGTAATACATAATCAGTATCTCCAAAATTGTAGTGAAAGTCAGAATGCACTTCATTTTATAAAATTTAGATTTCTACCACTGTTGAGCAACTCTTTTGGTTCATAAAGTTAGTCATGCCCTGTTGCCAGATCTAATATGCTTTCCTCATAGAACTAAGCTGTAAGAATAGATATAAGAGTAAAAGGTTGTTTTTTAAACAGCTCATCATGTATTAACTAAAGTCGATAATTATTATTTTTAACATTAATCTATTTTACTTCCAGTTTGACATTCAGTATGTGGATCTTGAGGCTTTTACCTGTCCTTACACTAGTGGTCAGTCCTACTCTTCTCATCTATCTAGCTAGTGAACAGAGGTAGTATGGTAGAACAAAGGGCAGGAAAAGTCTGCTCCATTAACCATTGCTTAGGTTGGGTCAGGCATGCTTTCAAGACTTCTAACAGAGTCTGGAATAGCCAGCCTGAGGAGTGGGCAGCAATTGTGGCATGTTGACCACTAATATTCAGCATTGGCATTACCAAAAGAATGATCAAATGAGGTGCATGTAGTGGCCAGAGTATATCAACATAACCTACTTCAAAGGAAACACATTTTAGATCTTAAAAGAGGTGGGGGTTTTTTGTTTTGTTTTGTTTTGAACTGGGGATTGAACCTAGGAACGCTTAACCACTGAACCACATCCCCAGCTCTTTTTATTTTTTTTATTTTGAGATAGGGTCTAACTAAATTGAGATAGAGCCTTGCTAAATTGCTGAGCTGGCTTTAGAAACAATCTTCGTGCCTCAGCCTCCTGAGCTGCTGGTATTACAGGCATGTGCCCAGCTTAAAAAGAGTTTTTAACTCTTGGTAAATGTTTTATCTCAGTTTGGATTGGAGAACAAGATTAAGGACATTAGATTGAAAAGCTAAACTTTTGATTTAATAAGCTATTTTTTAGTTTGCCTCAATTTATTCTCTCCACTGTACCTCATTTGCCTTTTTTACTAAAATAGGTGACCCCCATGCCTCAACAGTACAATTCTCAAATTCCACCACCTCAGTGCTGGCCACCCTTGCAGCCCTTGCTGAGGCATCAGCCCCCCTCTCCAATTCACACAGAGCCACAGGTAGGTAAGGGATGTCTGCTGGATGAATTACCATTTCTACTTTGGTTTTTAAACCTCCAGCAGATTTAATTTGCATGAAATATATTAAAGAATTGTAATTAATTAGAAGCACTTAAGAAAATGGATATATAGACATTCAGTATGTGGAACATACTGAATGTCACAGAACATCAGAAGGAAAATTATTGAGATATTTTCAGACAGCTGAGTAATACCAGTGACTGAATTCTTCCTTTGTATTTTTACAGCTTGAAGTTTGCCCTGATTCCACTTGATTCAGGTTGAAATGTTTAGTTTTGTATTAGCAGACTTTTACAAGTTATTGTTATGTTTTGACTGATGCCATCATAGAATAATTCAAAATAACAGATAGATATCTTGTACTAAAGTATCAAAATTCATGGGACTGCTATCTTTCTTATCATCATATCCTGTGCACTTAAGCTAGGATTGCTTTATTTTCACTGGAGATACTGATATTGCTTTGGCATTTCCAATGTTGTTGTTGTAGTATTGGAGATTGAACCCAGGAATGTTCTACTTTGTATTAGCTACCTTCCTAGTCCTTTTATTCCCCCAGTCCTTTTTTAAATTTTATTTTGAGACAGGGTCTCACTAAATTGCTGAGGCTGATCTTGAACTTGTGATCCTCCTGCCTCAGCCTCTCAAATCTCTGGGATTACAGGCACATACCACTGTGCCTGACACTGTACCCTTCTGATACTTAAAAAGTTTTCAAGTCACTTAATCAGACCAAGTGGTCTACAAAGGGAGAAGCCTTAGGGTTTACATTTGGGTAGTGAGAACATTCCTCCAATTCAGTCCTGTTTCTGACTGATAGTATTCATAAACATATCTCCTGAGACATGTATGAGAGAGTGGTACAGCAGAGGGAAAAGCATTATATATATGGGGCTTTTTTTTGAGGCGGGGTACCAGGGATTGAACCCAGGGGCACTCAGCCACTGAGCCACATCCCCAGCCCTATTTTGTATTTTATTTAGAGACAGGGTCTCACTGAGTTGCTTAGTGCCTCACTTTTGCTGAGGCTGGCTTTGAACTCTCACTCCTCCTGCCTCAGTCTCCCAAGCCACTGGAATTATAGGCATTTGCCACCATGCCCAGCCTAAAAGCATTATATTAAACTCATTCTTGCTAATCTTTTGGTTTGTTCTTGGATCTTTATCATTGTACTTTTCCAGGTCTTTAGTTCCTTTCAGCTCTAACATTTAACTATTCTTTGTTTCTAAGAGATGTGAATGATATATTTGCATTCTTCCCAAATGTATCTTATATGGGTGGTTCATATCCCACTTATTATTGCAGGATTCTACCTGTGACTCTTTAGATGGAGAAATGTCATAATGACAGGAATTGTTTACCCTAATAGAGATTAGGGATATTGATTAATCAGACTGAAAATCTTTTTTTTTTTTTTCCTTTCCTAGTACTCTACCACTGAACTACATACGTAGCCATGTTTATTTTTTATTAGTGGTTCATATCCCACTTATTATTGCAGGATTCTA